CCACTACCACAATCAAGATATTATAGAACTGCATCATCACCACAAGGCTTTCTCATGCTATGCTTTATAGCCACACCCACCCCTAACTCCTGGCAACCATGAGCCCTTCTCCATCTCTATAATTGTTATTTCATAGAGGTATATAGTGATATCATGCGTGTCAACTTTGGGCTTGGGCTTATTCATCCAGCAAAATTACCTTGAGATCCAGCCAACTCTTTTGCCAGTATCAGTTTCTTGTTTCTTTTTATCAATGAGGAATATTCCAACGGTATGGATGTGCCACTGTTTATTTAACCATTCACTTGCTGAAGTACCTCTGAATTGTTTCCAGTTTTGGCTACTACAAATAAAGATGCTTGCTATAAATAAATATTCATGTGCAAGCTTCTACTTGAAAGTAAATTTTCATTTCTCTGAATGCCCAAGTGTACAATTGCTGGATAGTATGGTAAATCTATTTTTAGTATGGACAGAAGCTGCTAGACTATTTCCCATGGTGGCTATACCATTTCACATTCCTACCCACAACATATGTGTGACTTGTTTCTCCACATCCTCACCAACAGTTGATTTTATCATTTTTTTTTATTTTAGCCATTTTGTTAGCTCATTGTTGTTCTTCTCACCTTTTAAGACCAAGTCAAGAATTCAGAATTTATTAGCTAAGGGTTATAGGCAACTGGGCAGGCCCGGCATGGTGGGTTGCACCAGGTATGTCTGCCCAGAGGTACATTGGGAATCCTAAGTACATGGCCAAAAGGACACCAACAAAACTCAGGGTATCAGCAAGTGAGGTCAAGACAGGACATTGGTAACAGCATGACTTATACACTGAGAAGCTAGAAGAGATTAAAAGAATTATAGATACAAAAATGATGAGCTGTTCAAGAGACAAAAGGTTACCACTTACGCCAGCAAGTCATCCAAATTACTTTCCTATTCAATTCAACATGGGAAGTGACAGCCCAAAAGAGTCAAAGGCTGGGCCTTCCCTGGTGGCGCAGCAGGTTAAAGCACAGCACTAAGAAACTAAAGCCACTTCCGCATGAGTTCGAACCCCGCCTGCCCCGGAGGTGACCACATGGCGCGGCAGACCTCTCCTGACCCGCCCGCTGCTCCCCTCAGCAGTGTACTTCGTCGATCTGCCTGTTCTGCTCCCCGCTCTGTCTCTGGTGAATCCTCTCACCCTACACATCTCTGGCCTGTACCCCAGTTCTGTATGAATAAATAAATATTTTTTTTTAAAGCCAAAGGCTGAAGACAAGGAGTCCATAACTTCACACTCTGATGCAGAAATCTCTGCCCCACCGCCAACAGGAAAGGGAGCCTGGGGCTGGGGTGGGGGGGTGGGGAATCCAGTCACTAGACTCCAGACCCTCCTTAGCAGTGTTGGAGACCTGAGCCTACAAAAACGCTAGTGAAGAAGGCAGAGGCCAACCCCAAAGACAAGCATTGCCCTGACAGCCCCTTCCTGCTAGATATTAGAGATTTTAAGTTAGAGATTCTTATGAGCATTGTCGCTTTTATAGAGCTTAAGGCTATCCAAATGCAACTCTGTCTAGAACGATGAACCCTTATTCAAAGATAGCCTTTTGTTTTTTTCCACACCCACCCTTTTTTATTAACTGATCTGGCAGGTTGCTCCAGGCCCTTCACGCTTCTCAGACACCATCCTCCGGGTGTAGTAAGGTGTCATCATTCCGTGAAAGCCCAGAGCTTCCTCTCTGCTGCCCCAAGTTTCAGAGGTCCACGTTGAATCACCAACCAAAAGGGTGGGGGAGGGGAAGAAAACAGGCAGGTGGGAAAGGCAATACTTCAAGTAAGGGGTGCTGAATCCTATGGAAAGTTACCAGGGACTGAATGGAGCAGGACGTCTGTGTGCTGAGCAGCTCCTGTATATATGGCAGATTTGAGGAGGCACCTCATGTGGGGGTTCATGAAGGTGATAGCAACAGCGTGGAGAGGCCCCAACCCTCTGGCCGGATATAGAACTCAAAGATCCGGGCTACAGGTGAGCGGCGCACTGGGCTCCACATGATGAACTTCCGGTCAATCTTGAGGGAAAATGGATCATCACGTGGGTAGAGCAGAGCTTGTCCTTCAGGTAGCAAAGATAGGGTGCTCATTCTCACCATTCACCTCACACTTTTAGAAAAGAATAAAGGGGGCTGGAATCCACCCCGGGGCGGACATACTTCAGAAATTTCATCACCTCGTTCTGACCGTCCACCTCGTGTCCAAACTGGTTGCAAGAGGAGCCACACTGCAGCTCGCTGAGCTGGATGTAGCCGGTGGCCATGGCCGTGCCTCTGAGGGAGGCCGCATTCTCTGTCAGCACTGCCCTGCCTTGGAAAGCATTGCCATTGCCATTTACGTTCTCCTCCTGCCGGCTAAGAGTACCGGGGTGGTAGAAGAACTTGGCAATGGGAGCCATGGTGAAAGAGCAGTGAGCCTCAAACGATAATCTTGAATATAAAAATGCCCACGGCCAGATCATTCTGGGTGAGGACGACAAGAGGTTGACTATATATATGTGAGCCGAGATATGGAAACAGCTTCATCCTCTGCAGAGGTCTAAAAGTCTTAGCTTAGAAATTTCCAAAAGGATCGTTTGTCTACGGGTTCCCTGTCAGCATCTTGCCAGTGGGCCCTTCTTTCTTTCAGTTCTGCCCAGAAACAATCCAGCTCCAAAGTGCTATCCACACCAAGAATAAAGGGAGATTCACCCCGGAAGACTTAAAGGGAAAAAAAAAAGAATATTTTTCGGGAGAGGAGCAAGGTCCTATAGACAGTCCTAGCCCACTGAGGCAAGCTAATGAGTCTGAAAGACTCCAAGGATCCGGGCGCCCACAGCTCAGAGCCTGCCTGCCTGCCTGCTGGGGGCAGACCTAGCCCCCACCCCCACTTCCCACTCTCTGGCTGCAGCCACCTGCAAGGCAAACCAAGGAAATAAGACTGTCTTAGTCCAATGCATATTTTCTCACCTATTGAAAACCAAAATCTTTATTGATGTAGACATTTGGTTTCAAATGCTGTCACTGGTAAATCGCTTTTCTTCATTTGTGCACTTGAAAGTAGTGATGAGCTGTAAAACAGGTGGCTTCTCTTTTCATCATTTACCTAGATTTTGCCACATGCTGAAAGTTTCACAACCCATACCTGAAATGGAACAAAAGTCAAATCTGACACAAAACTTCCAGGACAAAGAAGCATTTGTGTCTGTCTGATACAATCTAAGAGAAAAAAAAAAAGTTAGCCTAACAACCTCTGGGAAAGTTGATTACTCCCTCCTCTGCCATCTCTGATATAATTTATCATTGTATTTTAAGCATTTATTGACATAGTATGAGTCTTCCCCTTGTTCTGAGCTATGTGGAGCTGTGCCATATTCATCTTTGTTCCAGCAGCATCTGGTGTGTTCTACACTGGCCACACAGCGGGCAACCAGTAAATGTATGCAAAGTGAGGGAAAGAAAAATTAGAGAAAGTCCTGCTTGCCCCCCCACCCCCCATTCAGCTATAAGCCCTTTTGGAACAAAGATCATGTCTTCCTCTGTGTCTCCCAGTGGCAGCAAATAGGGTGCTCTGTACGTGTAGATGCTCAATAAATATCGGCTAACGATTCAGGTGACTTATCTTCCCTCTGCACCCAGGAGATAAGCACATGAAAGAGAAAACAGGCCTGAGTATTTCTGTATAAATGATCATATGTCATAAATTTTATAATATTCTTAGAATCTCCACAATCACTCAATATTTGTCTGTTAGATGAGCAATGAAAACAAAACCGTCTTTTGAGTCAAAAAAAGCCTCTGCAGCTGAGCACTTTTCAATAGTTTCAATACCCCGGTTACATATGAGTGTGTGAGGACTGCATTTTCTATCCATCCCTGAATTCTTTTTGAAGTTTCAGAGGGATCTGGGAATTTTCTGTTTTCGCTACATTGGTATAATTTGACATGTTGATTATGAAGGGGTCATTAACCCCAACATTTTTTTATCACTTTTTGACTCTGCATTTTCTCAACTCTGAAGTACGTTAATTTGTGCTTGTTTATACATCTCTGTACGAGTTACTCAGACACTTGAGGGCTGGTATATGTTTTGTCTGGGAACAAGATTGTAAGCCCCTTGAGAGCAGGAACCTTATAACTCCTAGGAATGCATTCTGTATATTGTCAGTGTTCAATGAATGATAATGCTGAAAGTCTTAACTAAGGTCCTCTGTCACACTGACAACTTCCTTTTAGCTTGTGAGGCTTCCAACTGTAGTAAAAAGCTGCCAATTTGATTTGATATCATTGAGCGATTCTACCCAAAGTTACACTCCTAGAATTATTCACTACAATTTGTTCTTTACAATAATTTCACATTTATAATTTTGGATTGATTGTTAAGTTCCCATAACTCCCTGGTTACATATGAATTGGGGAAACCTGCATTTAAGAACCCAGAAGTCCTTTAGCATAATAGCTGATAACATCTATGCAAGCATGTAATTCTCTGCTTGAGAATTCTCTCTTCTCCGCAAGATGTAATACCAGCCCCCACTGATAAATAGATGATAAACTCCAAGTATGTTCACAATGTTAAATACAAAATAATCCTTAGTAGCTATTCATTATATGTGTCTTATATCCCTAGATCACAAACTGGAGTAAATGGATACACTATGCTCTAGGACTATTGAGGGTAAATTAAGATGAGTGAACAAGGGAAATCGAAGTCCTAAAACAGGGCATTTTTGATCCTTGGTAGGGGTGGAGATGGGGGGGGTGGTTTTTGCAAATCAGGTTTATTGAGAAATGATTTATAAACAAACAGATTTACCCTTTATTAGAAAGTCTGATGAGTCTGACAGGTTGGGTTTTTGTTTTTGCTCTTTTGCCTTCATGGTTTGCTGTTTTAACTATACCTCTAATTGGCCTTACCACCACCAGCTTAGACCAACTGACCTATCTTTTTCTTTCATTTTGTATGCTTTCTCTTTTTTTCAGTGTACTGAAGGAGGTATACATAGCCTTTAATCCCAAAGCAGTGGTCTTACAGCTCGGAGCTGATACAATAGCTGGGGATCCCATGTGCTCCTTTAACATGACTCCAGTGGGAATTGGCAAGTGTCTCAAGTACATCCTTCAGTGGCAATTGGCAACGCTCGTTTTGGGAGGAGGTGAGTATAAAGGAAGGTCACTAGGAAAATTTTTTGACCTTCCTGCATGCTTTGTCTATTGACACTGAGGACAATTTGACTTTCTTAGATTAGATCATACCAGCATAGGTCTGGGTCCATGAAGCTGTTGTACGGAACTACTCTGACTCTTCAGCTTGGCATGTAAATTGACTCCTTGCCACTCTGAGTGTTTCAAAGTTTCAATTTCTGAAGCAAAGTTCCTTGTTAAAGGAGACATCCGATCTCATTAAGAATAAAGACTGTCTCATTAAGAATAAAGACTGTTAACCCCAGGAGATTTTGATCCATCTTCTCTCGAAGTAGTTTATGACTCTCAATCTATAATCATCTTTTAGAAGCATAGTACTAAAATCTTAATTATGCACATATATAAGTAGCACACACATGAATTAGTTAAATATTGAGGCCGATTTCAAGAGTGACTTCTCCTTCCATAAAAGCATGGATTTGTTACCAGGAAGTAAAATTGAGAGATTTGAAGTGCTTCTCAGGTAGCCTTGCTTTCAGTCTATTCTGCTATTTTGTATTACTTCACCAACAGCAAGTTCAGCAGAAGCATTTAACATTTGTGAAAAAGGTCTTTTACAACCTCGACTACTTTTAAAGATACTTTGCCTAGAATCACCTATCTACCTGGCACAATCTTTTTTTCGTTGGATGAATGGATTGTATATTAAAGTGATCTAGTCAAGCAAATTGAACTTAATTTTTCTATACTAGTGAATAACTAATAGTTTATTGTTTTGTCAACCTGCTGTGAAAGGCAAAGTAAAAGAGACATTGGCGATGTCTTGTGAAGATGAGTGCATGTTCAGCACAAATACACAAGGCTGGGCCTTAGCTTCAAACACTGTAGGGACCAAAATTAAAGGTGGTTACTAGAGACAACATCTTATGAAAAGCTGGCAAGAAACTGCAACTCGGGGAAAAGGTAAAATTGATGACATGTTACATTCCTTGACTAAGGAAGGTAATTATGATATAGGTAAGACCAGGAGGAAGAAAATAAAGACCTTTCCACAACATACATCTGTTTGAATTTGACTTTTGTTTAAGGCTATTGTTTTTACTTAGCAGTCTGAAAACCTCATTGCTTTTGTCAGTCCAAAGTTTTGGCTTCTGAATACCTTAGAGTAACTCTTCTTACGCAGTATGTACATTCCTGAAAAGGCCTATGCGTAAGCAGAATTGCTGCAGATCCAATCATACCGTATGTGCACCAGAGAGTAGTTACACTTAAACAGAACCTATAGTGGTTCTTTTTGTAATGATTACACCCAATAAGCCAAATTCAGACTTTCCACATCAGCAGTGTTTAAAGTAATACCTGTACTCGTTCACTTAGATTGCTAACCCCCAATACTACATAGCCAATGAGTAGAGATGCCAAATCCCCAAGTTTCAGTAGAGTCCACTGAGGCCTAAAAGATGCATTAGAGAAACCTTAGCATCCCTGACCTTTCAAGGAGTTGAAAGCCTTAAGAAAAGTGTGACTGCATGTCCCAACTATACATGTTATCTCAGTGTAATTAATAGTGTCCCCTCTTACTTACAAGTATACCATTTTGGACAATAAATTACATGGTCACCTACTAGGAATAAGCTAGAATCCATTTTCTTCAGGCTGCACTGAGGTTAAGAAATCATTCCATTTTATCCTTGCACTCTTGGAATTTAGCTAAAGGCCAATGTTCTAGTGCTTGCATGGCAGAACACATCTATTCAGCACAAAAATATGCTGATTATTAGCCAGTATAATGTGGCTGCTGGGTGACTGTGACAGGACCCAATGAAATGGGTCAGAGCGTCAATCAACGGTTGCTTCCTCATCTCATTCTCTTTGATCTCTGCCAGTAGGCCTGTGTTTTTGTGGACAGAAGGAATGCTGATATTAAAAGAAGGAAATCTGTTTTTGTCAGCATTTTCCTTTTCTCTTTCCTGGATGTTTCTAGGGCTTTATCTGCCAATAGCTTTAGCATACAAATCACATCCAGCAGTCAATTTGTTGAATTGTTGCAAAATTCATCACAGAGTCCTTGACAGTGGGTATGTCACCTCAAGTTCTGGGAATCTCAGACTGGCCTATGACTCTCGATGGAATCGAGGAGCTTGGGAGTGCTCAGGTGCATTTGTTTAGAAGTGAGGGCCTCTTTAATCTTCGTAGGTCTTGGACTTCCCAGTTCTACACAGCTTTGTTGACTGACTAAGGTCTGCCTATGAGATGGTTTGAAAGTATTGGGAAAGGACGTCTGGGTAAAATTCTGCAAGTTGAAGTGTCTTTTTAGCTGTTTTACTAAAACATTTTTTTTTCCTTTTTTCTTACTCGCCCCTCCCCTCTCCTGCTGGTTTGTGACTATTCTCTCCTAACTTCACAATTCTTGATGGAGACAGGAGGCTATAACCTTGCCAATACAGCTCGATGCTGGACATACTTGACCGGGGTCATCCTAGGGAAAACACTATCCTCTGAGATCCCAGATCATGAGGTAAGTAAGGCTTTGACAAGTCCTCTCTTCTTAAGGGGAAGAGCTGAGTCATTCCACCTAATCAAAATCATGTCCTCACCACTCAATACCGTTTTGTTGAGAGACACTCCAATAACAATAACACACTGTCTTGGCAGAATAGTGGACTCTTGTTCCAAAATATCCAAGACCTTCTGCCTTTTTTTACAAGTGATCTCAAAGGCCAACCAACTTTAATTTCTCAATTAATTACAGAGACTGTGGGAAGGGGTCACCTGTTCACACAAAGAACTCTTTCGAATATGTGTGTATTTTCATCCCCTAGCCTCAATAATGAAGAGGCAATTTTTTAAATATATAAGCTGGTTTCTCATCTCTCTTTAAGAGGCCCCAGCGGCAGTCTCTCACACCTGTGTTCTTCAGTGGAAGTCCTGGTCTCTTAGTTTTCTTTGACCAATGTAAAATCTGAGAAACACATAACCACCACAAAGACAGGCCTGGTGTTTATCCAGCGATTAGTAGCACACAGAGGTTGGGGTAGGACCATCCAAAGTGTGAAACAATCTTTTGAGCCCTTGATATTCCCTTTAGCTGTATGAGATGGGCTCTTTGTTTTCTAAAGCAAAGATATCTGTTCTAGCTTTCCCAAAACACACCACAGAAAGCTCTCTGGGCCCACTGAGTGTGTACCTTATTAGAAGGTGGACCCTTTCTTTTCTCACCTACCCCAACACCTGGCAGGAAGCATGTTCTCAAAGATCAGGATGTGAAGCTCTAGGTCTCAGACTGGCTCCTAATCGCAAATGGTAACATACAGCCCCACCTTCTCAAGCCATTTCCCAAGCAGTAGAGTTGGTACTTTGGTAAAAATGCTTTGATTCCTGCCAGATGCAGAAGCTGTCCGCTTGGGAAGACTATGCTTTTTAAAGTTACTATTATTTTTTTTAAAAAATTAGAAACAACTTAAACTAATTTCCTTCCAATTTTCTTCCAACCACAGATGAGGTATAATATGTAATTCAGAAAAACCATTCATTGTGCCTAAAATACAAATAAGAGGAACGCTATAATTTGAGACAATTTGCTGGTGTCAGGGTTAATAGAAGTCTCTTTTCTTGACTTACCTTTATTCGGTATTTGGAAGCTTTATGAAATATAAAGGTAAGTGAACAAATTACATTTGCTCACAAATGTAATTGTTTTTATTGCTGTGGGAATATCTCAGATTGCATTGTAATTTACAGCACTGAGACTTTAAAAACTGATCAAGTTATGTCAAAAAGAGGTTGTAAGATGTGGAGGTCTGAATTGAGAGTGAGTTTTCGGTTCCTAGGAAACAGTGCACATCCACAGATTCAACTGTATTAAAATGCTGATAAAAATTTAATAGAGATGAATACTGCCTTTGGTACTGGGAGAAGCTGTGCATCTGATTGGATATGTGGGCTGGGTCTTATAGATAGACACGTCCTGTCTTTATACTAACATATCCTGCCAGATTACACGAGCTATAATGTATGGCAAGTGCCTGATAACACAGTTCTTGGCACATTATAGGCACTTTGGAAATGCAAGTTCTGTCCTTCTGCTTTGCATGCTCCTAACAACTTCTTATACCCAGACATTTATGACTTTGTCATTCATAAATTTGTCCAAACCTTTTTTGAATCCCTTCTGTCATATCCTTCTGGTATGAGATGTGAGTCATCCAAGAAGGAACAAAGAAGAAAATTGAAATGACAGTCTTCCAGGTACAATAAGATAACATTTTAATGAAAATTACCAAAAATAGACTATGCAGTGTAAAGGCACATATAAGGGTTTGCCACAATACAATTGCACACAAATATCCTTGTGGTCCTCTGTAATCAGATCAACAAATAGTAGATTAAAAAAACACTTGCTGAACACCCATTGTGTGACAGGCTCCAATGCTGGGTGTCTTGGGCGATCTGAAGATATTAAGATCTCACCCCCTACTCGGGCAGCTGGGAGGGAGGGTAGTATAAGTGCTGGGGACATATGTAGATACACAAATAATCATAGTACAGAGCAGAGTAAGAACCAAAAGGTATGGAAATGTGCAGCAAACATAAATGTGGTCCAAAGGAATAAACAAAATATTTTCTGAAATCTAGTCAATGAAAGGTGAAGGCCATGCAACAGTCAGTGGCAGCCTGGCTGACCCCCCACTCACTCTCAGGCTTGGGATTTTGTGGTCCTCTCTGCTGGTGTTACTTCCCCCACCCCCAATGGCCCCCTTTATTGTCTTTTTAAGTGCAACTTCAACCCTGTACCTTTAAAAATCCCTTTCCTAAATATATCAAAGTCCTTTGAGCTCTTCCTTCATAGTCACTTTTGCCTTCCTTCATTTAACAAATAGAACTGGGTCATATTAAGACCTTAACTCAAGAGTACGAAGACAAGACAAACCCAGTGTCCTCACAAATCTCACTGTCTAGTAAAGGTAACTGAACAATGTGTACAAATCCGAAACAGGCGAGCAGAGAGGAAATGTTTCACCAAGACTCGGAACTGAATCTTGAAGGTTGATTTGAGAGTTCACCAGATGAAGAAGAGGGAAAAGGAATTTAGACTGAGGAAACAGAGATTGGAAAGGACCTGGTGCCTCACGGAAGAATGAGAAGTTGAACATGTGTAGAACATAGGGTTTGTGTGAGTGTGGGAAGGATTAAGGCTTGAATGGAAATTGGAGCTAGATTATGAAGAGTCCTGAATGCTGTGCCAAAGGGCTGATACTTTTTTTCTGTGAAAACAAATGAGCTTTGGTTTTTAGAAGGCTCACTAGTAGGGCATTGAAGATTGCAGCAGACAGAACTATGGAGAAGTTCAAGTACATGCCTATAACACTTACAGTCTGTGCCACTCATTTGATCATCTGTGTTTTGGTTGTCTCCATTCCCCCTCAGAGCTTTAGCAGAGTGTTAACCACCCACCTAGTTGGTGTTCATTCACTGAATGAACAACTGAGTAAATGAATGTTTGAATAGTAAGTGTCTCAACATTCACATGGAAAACTTCTATTGTTAGCACAGAAGAATTGGAAGCATTCATCTAGCCTTTCTCTGAAAGCAGTTTAACCTTAGCACCAACTACCCAGCACCAAGGGGTACCCCAGCTGAAGGAAATGGATGTGTCCGTGAGAGAACACTAGGTTTCTTGTAAAGGGAAGGGAGTTGGGAAAGCAAGACCAGAGAGTATTAGAAGTGATTAGTGGTGAGATTTTAATCAAGCCCTCAGGAGATACAAAACCAGTAATGCCATAAGGCTAGTGAACAGTGAGTTAGTGCCAACACAATTAATTGGGGAGCCAAGTTGGTCGGCCAAGCATGGAATAAGGAGGCAATCCCAGCAGCTTCCTGCCTGCCTATGCCTATGCAGGTGCCTGTCCTTTCCTTTCTACTTTTCTGTAAACCTGTCTTTTTAAAATGTTAGGAAGAAAAAAAAAAGAGAGAGAACGAAAGAAAACGAGGCAATCCCAGCTGGAGAAAGAGAAGGACCCAGGTGGGAAAGCTGAGAGGATTGGGATCTGTTCATATGACTGGCCCAGATATCTCTATTTTAGAGAAAGTCCAAAGGCAGCATGGAATCCTATAAAAAGGCCTAATTGCCTAATTTAGCAAATTATCCATAACAAGGCTTCTGTAATCCAGTAATACTGCTTGGATCCTATGATTTAAGATAGATAATGCACATATAGCATGTATACTTACGTACATATACATACGCATATACTGGAATCACCAAGTAGATTTCAACAAAATTTACTGAACAAAAATTATTTACTTAACGAGACTGATTTTGATACACTAGCTGAATAAACTGCCTCATTCATGTGAGAGAATATAGGTAGCCATTGGAAAAAAATGAGGTTTTTATTCAATATATGTTAGTGATGTGAAATAGTCTTCAGGGCAGTCTATAGATTAATGTGGGAGAAAATAACATCCTAATATTCATCTTTCAAGCCCTGAGTTCGCTATCTTTCCATTTACTTAAGTCTTTTGATTTTCCAGTGAAATTTATACGTTTCAGTGAATAGGTCTTACACAAATTTTATTGAATTTGTCCCTAAGTATATCATGATTTTGATGTCAAAAATGGTATTTTTAAAATTTCTAGTTATTTGTTGCTACAAATTAGAAACGCAATTGATTTTTTTCACATTCATCTTGATTTTTTTTAATTTATGCATACAAGAACTAGGGTATAGACCAGAGGTACAGGGGTGATGAAAAGATTCACCAGAGACAGAATGGGGAGCAGAACAGTTAGATCTACTGAAGTACACTGCTGAGGGGAGAAGCCGGCAAGAAAGGAGAGGTCTGCCGAGCCAGTGAATCAGCTCCCTGGCGGGGGATGGAAATCGTGCTGCAGTGGCTGCGAATAGCTTCATAGTGCTGCGCTTTAACCCACTGCGCCACGAGGGAGGGCCCTCATCTTGAATAGTTTAATGGCACTAAATTTATTAGCTCTGTTAATTTTTTGTAGATTCCTTATGCGAACATGTCACCTGTGAATCAAGTTTCCTTTACTTCTTCCTTTATAATCTTCATGCCTTTTATTTCTTTTCCTTGCCTTGTTATATGGGTTGGGACCTACAATGCAATGTGGAATAGAAGTGGTAAGAGTGAACATCCTTGTCTTGTTCTCAGTCATGGGGAAAAACACAATCCTTCACTATAAAGTATGATAACAACTGTAGATATTTTTATAAGTGTCCTTTATTAGGTTGTAGAGTCCCTTTCTATTCCTAATTTACTGAGAAATTGTTCTCACAAATGAGTGTTGAAGTTAGTCAAATGCTTTTTCTTCATCTATTTCAGTGATCACATGATGATGTCCTCTTACGTTGTTAGTACAGTAAATTGCAATTATTGGTGCTTTTTTTTTTTTTAAAAAAGATTTATTTATTTGTTCATACAGAACTGGGATACAGGCCAGAGGGGTGGGGTGGTGAGAGGCTTCACCAGAGACAGAGTGGGGAGCAGAACAGGCAG